TTTTGCAGATGAGGAAACTGAGGCCCAGACATGTAAAAGTCACCTCCAAGGTCATATGTCTTATGAGGAGCAGAGACAGAAAGCAAACCCAGCTCTAGACCCTGCCCCATTAACCACTGCACCACACTGGCTCTTGGACGAGGACAGAGCCTCTAGAGCCCCAAAGCCTGCCCTGGGTGGTGAGGGAGCAACAGGAAGGTGGGGGCTGGAGGCCCGACTCTTGCTTCATCCAGAACTACTCTGCTCGTGTCTGTTTGATATGTTGCAGTGCGAGAATGGAGGGAGGCATGGAGTTTCCTTGACAGAAAGGGTTCTGTGGAGGAAAAGAAGAAGCTGAAAGCTACAGGGCCCTATGCTTTCTAAATGCTTCTTCTGGGTTCTACAATGATGTCCCCACAAGCTCACTAGCTCCTCAGCCTGTTTCCTGTGGCCTGGGCACCTCCTGGGTCTTTTGTTTCCAGCAGCCCTGGACCCTGTAGTGTTCAATCTCAGCCTTGCGCATCTGTCTGGACCATGGAGGAGGTGACAGCCACGCTTGGAGCCTAACAGTGAGGAAGGAGGCCAAGCTCAGAAGCTGTTGTTCCTCCAGAGCTGTGTGACTGACGGGCCGGGTGTCTATAGGTTTGGGAACAACAATCAGCCTCTAAGTTCTCTGTCGTGAATCTGAGAACTGCTCATTCATTCAACAAATGTTTCTTGAGCGTCTAGTATGTGCCAAGAGCATGCAAAATGCTGAGGATATGGCCAGAAAATACAATGCTCATACTCCAAGTCCTTGTGGAAGTTTACAGTGCAGGGGAGAGGGTGAGATGGACACCTTGAGGAGGTATGGAGGCCTGCACTCCTCACCTGGCCCAGGGGTCAAAGAAGACCTCCCTGGGAGGCAACATTTAAGCTGGGATCTGCAGGTAGAGGTAGAGTCAGCAGGTGCCAAGGACAAAAGGGTGTGTCAGGCAGGAAAGCAGCCTGTAAGAAGGCTAAGAGTGGGAGGCTCCTGCTCCAGGAAGGGGGGGAGGTGGCAAGGCTGGGACACAGTGAGTGAAGAGGCGGGGTAGGCTGGGGAGGCAGGGCTGACCACCCCCGGCCTCACAGAGCACTGGGGCACCTGGTGAGTGTGAAGCAGAAGTGACTTAGCCAGATTTGGGCATTCTTTTAGAATCAGTTCACTGTGGCTGCAGTGTGGAGGGCAGAGGGGCCAGGGAGGAAGTGGGGTGACCTCTCAGGGGCTACTGCAAGACCCTAGGTGGAAGACGAAGGGGACACAGTATCTGGAGTCCACCTCAGCTCCAACGAAGGAGAGAACATCCAATTCGATGTCTTTCCAGTGTACCGGTGGGGGTGGGGGGAGGTGAGGGGTGGGAAGAGGAGCAGGGCTAGGGGCAGAAGGAAATGGGAGGAGGTAGTGGGTAGAAGCAGGAAGAGTGAAGGGCGGGGACAGAAGAGGATGATGGGGGAAGGAGGCAATGGGTGGGAGGCAGGAAGGAAGGAATGGGGGTGAGAGGTGATGTCGAGACCAAAGGTGGGAACAGGACATAATGGGCAGGGAAGAGTGGTGATGGGCAGGCCAAGAGGTGATGAGTAGGAACAGGAGGTGATTGTGGGTCAGTAGTGATGGGTGGGGGGCAGGAGGAGGAAAGGAATGGAGGTTAAGAGGTGATATGTGGAGACCAAAGGTAGGAACAGGACATGGTGGGCAGGGACAAGAAGTGATGGGTAGGCCAAGAGGTGATGGATAGGAACAGGAGGTGATTGGTGGGCCAGCAGTGATGGGTGGAGGCCTGGAGGTGATGGGAGTCACGTGCCCCAGAGGGGCCTGCACCCACCTGAACAGCTGAACTCACTCTTCTGGACCTCGGCCACATTGAGACCCCGCAGGCTGGGGGGGCCCGAGCACTGGGTGAAGAGCCCGATGGTTGGCCGTTGCCTCAGCCACTGTGAGAGCCAGGCCAGGTGACAGTCACAGAACAGGTGATTGGAGTGCAGGCGGCTGCAGGAGAACAGGGTGGCTCACAACCAGCCTGGGCCCCCCAGGACCAACCATGGGGAACCCCTGTACCCCAGCAGGAGCCGAGCCCATGGGTGCTCTATTCAGCTTAAGCACACTCTGTGTTCCTTCAACTACTCCGTTCAGCCCCAACTGAGGGATTACCCACAGCAACGAGAAAGCTCCCTGCTGCCTCCCCTTCCCTCCCAGCGAGCTCTGAGGCATGCCTCTGGCTGGAGTGTGGGAAACATTGATTCCTTTTACTGAGCTCACACAGGTCTACTGCCCCAAATCATGTAACTCATTTTCAAACATGAAAACAAGTTGTATCTTTTCCAAAGAAAAAAATCAGATATCAATGATATTTTAATGTCCTATAATTTTAGATCATCTCTTTCACCCCAAAGAGGAAAAAGTATACCCAGAAACCCACACACACTGGCCTGGCCTCTGGGGGTGCAGAGAAGAATAAAGTCTACCCCCAGCCCCAGAAGCCTGCACCTCCTTTTCCCACCTGCCCCAGGGTACTGGCCCCACACTTGTTGTTCTGTTCCCAGTGGTCTCTGGGCCTGACTCACAAGGTCCGAAGCTTGGGCATGTGGTTGAAGCTGGACACGGGAATGGTGGTGATGTTGTTGTTGTTCAGGGTTCTAGAGGGGAGAAGCCAGAGTCATTTAGCATCTGTTTTGCAGGAGGTGATGGAGGAGGGACAGTGCTCTCTGCTAACAAATGGGGAGGCCCTCATTTCATAGTCCATGGTTATTCTCAAGGTTTGGTGGAGCATTTGCACCAGACCCAACAATGGGCAATGTTCAAGAGTGAGAAACACAGACTTGTCCTGTGGGACGTGCCCTGAGCTGGACAGTGATCAGGAGCCAAGTGCACAGTAGACTCCATAGTTGATGGACAGAGGAGAAGGAGCAAGGAGAGGGGGAGGTTGTGTTCCAGGCTCAGGCTGGCTTTGAAGAAATTGTGGTTAGACAAGCAGTGAGGGGAAGGGGAAGGTGTTCCGGCCTCATGTGTCAGAAACTCCTGGAAGACACAGTCCCTCGCCTGGCCTTCATCATGAGCAGGGTAAGCCTGGATCACGCTGTGGCAAGCATGACTCCACTAGCACATGTCCTCCATCCTTGGCCGAGATTAGAGGACAGCAGAGAGGAACACCTCTGTGCCAGGCCTAAGACCCTCCTTCCAGGTCTCCTGCCCCCACGATGCTTCCAGTCCCAGATCCAGCAGCCAAGCGGGCACCTGTGTTGGCTGGGCTCCCCACGCCTCTCCTCCCTCCCTGCATGTTTTACTTACAGCACCTCCAGCCCCCGCAGAGCCCGGAAAGCCCCTTCCTCGATGCAGCTGATCTGGTTCTTGTCCAGCTGTCTGTGAAGCGAGAGAAAATGCTAAATAGAGCATTAGTTCATTGTTGTGGAGGGTCAGGAAAGGTTTATATGTGGAGGGAAACTTTCTTTGTTGGCTGCCAGGGATGGGAGGGGAGGGGAGGGAACACTGAAAAAAAAAATGCATTGACCCATGTCACTTTAATTCTGTGTATTTCACTGTACATAAATTATATTTCAATAAAATGCATTTAAGAAAAAAGAGCACACATTGCCTAGGGCAGGAGTCCCCAAACGTTTTGATCAAGCACCTCTTTAGGAAAAAAATAGAGAGAGGCAGGACCACAATCATTTACAAC